CGTGGTATTACAACTTCTGAATGTTAAGAAACCTTATATTTCCTCAAGTATCAGTACTTAATGTCTCGTTCCACACATAAAACTCTGTGAGTGGAAGGCTGCTGGCCCCCGTGTCAGAGGTAATTTCTGAAGGCTCTGCATGGGATTTAACGGGAGCCATATGGTTAAGTCCATCAACCCTCCCAGAAAGCATCCCCCTGAAGGGCCCTCGTAAATGTTCTCAGGGCTGTGAAAGATCCAGCAACTTTCTAACAATAAAGCAATGTTCACAGCCATGATATTCAGCAAAACACAAAGCAGGAAATCATGGATTCTGGCCTGAATTAGCCCTCCTGGGGCAGGGCTGTGGACCAGTGATGACCTTGGACTTGCTGGCCTATTGCCTCCGCGGGAAGAAGGCTGACCTGGATGTTCTTGTATTAGCTCGTGGTGGGCAGTGACAGCTGTCTGTGGTGGGCAGTCTCAGCCATGCTCAGTAGGTTTGTGGAGTTTAAGAAAACTCTTAATAATGGATTCATACACCTGTGCATTTACAGAGCAAGCACATTCTTAAAATCTTAACTGCTTATTATTATGCAAGTCTCCTATAAGCTGTGCCTTTCTGTGATGGCATCATATACTGAGCTTTCTCTATTCTTCTGGGGTTTGTTTGTTTTTTTTTCAGAGCAACAATGACACAGAAACCCTTAAACCAATTAACATTCCCATCTCGAGGGACCCTTAAACAATGCTGACTCATGCAACAAAGCCACATCACTCTCCCCGATAGGAAAGGTGGCCTTGCTTTTGACACAAGTTCTAAGATGTAATAAGTTTTTCATTATTAATATTATTATTATTTTCCTTGGTCACATCCATTGAGCTATACCTGATATCCTCTGTATGGCACACAGTGTCAGGGATTGCCAAGAGCAAAGAGAGAAGCACAGAAAGGGTGAGAGAAGCTAAAATTTATGACAAATATCAGCTCCTTTTTATTTTTTTCATAAAACAAGATTTGCTTCTACAATATTTTATATAAATTTCTAGCTAAATGTTAGATCTATAGTGTCTCGCTACAGCCCTGTGCAAACAGAGTTTATGACCAAATAACTAACATGCCTACACATCACATGGACATGTATATTCCAGGACTAATTGGTATAAAATCAGGGGGAGGTTACATACATAAATGGTTTCACATATGCACGCTGTTGAACATATTCTCAAGTTTCCTGGTATATTAACTAGAATATTCCACAATGGGCCAGATATCTTCTTTCCAAATATCAGTCTTGGTAGGAACATTTGTATAGTCTGGTGTTAGACATATCACACTCCCATCGTAAACAATTATGGTCAAATAATTTTCACCAATAATCTAACCAGCTTATATATTTGTTCAATCCACCCAGAGAATTAAATTTTTAGAACACTTTAAATGCAGGAAGAAAATTTATGGAATACGTTGGCAGTGCCTCCCATAACCTGTCAGAACTCAGTACTGACACCTATTCTTACAGAATGCCACACTTCATGTTATCTTCATTGCTCTCCTGAAGAATCACTGATCATGAATTATCCACTATCCCGCACTGCATAAAGAGAAATAGACTTCAGGAAAGCTGGGATCTATCAAGATCACAGCCACCTACTCAACCAGTGTTTGGCTCCTACAAAAATGTCTCATATGAAAGGAGACAGAGGGAGAGAGAGATTGAGAGAGAAAGAAAAAGAGAGAGAATATATGCTACCACTACCTGTTCGTCTACCATTTTCCCCAGGCTTTGCTGGCTTGATCCTGAATTAATGAGCCTGTTACATGATAGCAAATAAAAAGGAGTGGAATAGAGATCTTGGAATCTGCCACATATCTGGTCCGAGGCTGAATCGATTTCATCTCTATTTAACACATGCTTGTTTTCTGTCTCACTTGTCTCCCCTACAGCCTATACCTCACTCCTTTTTTCCCCATCTGGAAAACTTATCTCCTAAAAAGCTACCATCAATCAGCCAAAGACACTCTTCCCGACAGAGCGTCTGCCAGTTTGACAATGCACAAGTAGTCACCAGTTTGGGGATGCCTCCCACACTCTCTAGTGCTGTGTGTTTTTCTAGCCTGCCTAACCACACAAGTGCAATTTGGGATATTTATACTTACCTCCAGTTTCTAGTGGGATAACAGCACTGCTTTGACAGAACTGGGTGAAAGGCATGGTGGAGCATAGAAAGGGTGGAACGAAAGTTGCCCATGTTGCTTGCCTATCAACTGTTAACCTTGTTTCTTTGAATTTTTGCATTTCCACCCACTTTGGTCAACGTCGGCTCAGTGCCTGCTCTGGAAGTATGAAAACCAAACACTCACAAGGACGTACACATTGTCCCCCAAATTTTCCCTGAGAACCGACACCGTCCCCCGTTCCCAGTCCTTCTTGTCAGTACCACTCCCAATACATTCAAGCTTCTAAGCTTAAGCACAGCATGAAAGGAGGGGGCAGAAGGGAGAGCGAGTGGGGCCGGCAGCAGACGCTGAGCACTGGTAGAAGGGAAGGGAACACGGGGAGCGGGAGACAGGCGGCCCCCTCCCTCTCCACAAAGTTCCAGTCGTGAACACACCCACTGGCCACAGCAAAAGAGCACTGTGCGTGGGCACAGGTGGGTCCCAGCCCCTCTGGCTGGATGCAGCTTAAGCGCAGAGCCTGAATGAAGACTTTCATTGCTGTTTGCTGTTTTTGTTGGCCAGTTGCCATGGCAAACATTTGCAGGTGGCTTGGCCAGATTTTGACACTTAAATATTTGAGGTTGTGATAAAAATCAGAATATTACTACAATATGGTTCTGTGCAGCCTCAAAAAAAAAAAACTATCTGCAATTTCAAATGCTCATTTAAAGACACAGTCTCCAGAGGGAACTCATGTTTTAAAGTAAGTACTCATTTCCTCTTTGCTGAGAGAAATAAAAGAGTCAACCATCCCCAAATGTTACCACCTAGAGTTTCATTCTGAATCCACTGGTGCGATGGGTTGGCTTGTTCCTTGCTGAGCCCCCATGATCATCCGGGCAAGGTTTTGGATGGGTCACACGGAGAAAATGGAAATGACAGGATGTGTGGGTTGAAATCAACATGGTAAGCACGACAGGGAAGGATCTGAAGAAAAGAGGCAGCCTCCCTCAAGTCTGGCAGTGAGACAGAGTCCTAAAAGTGACAATTATCTCCTAGAATGCACCAGGAGAGATACACCCCCCCACCCCAGGACTGGGAATAAATGGGAAAATGGAGTGGGTTAGGAGGTCACAACTACCAGAGAAACACCCCCACCCTCCCAGGCCTAGTGACACAGCCTAGGAACGTCACCAACTGTACAGCCCTGGGCCTGCTGGGTAAATTACTGACACTCAACACTCATCTTAGAATTTAGTGCTAACTCTTAAAAGATTGTTTCACAAACACCGGCATTGTACTGACAATGGCCGAATACTAAGGGCCTGCAAGAGGGTAGTTGGGGGCTGGAGCGGGGAGAGGCAGGAGAACTCCAGGGGGGAAGGAATGCTGTAAAACTGCTAGTAAACTCAAGCACATTTTATGTTTTTTTCCCCTTGAAAGAAAAATAAAATAATTATAATTAGCTGGCCTAACTGTGAATTGTCTACCCAAAGCCAAGCCACTGGAGTGAAGGAGTCCCTTGAGATTTAGAGGCTGTCTTTGACAAAGCCACCCCACCCTCTTAGTATATTACAGGTTCTTGCTTTATATGATGGCAACATTTGCTCCCATAGTCATTTGGGAAGAGAAGAAATCTTTTAAGGGCAGAGACACTTGCTAATTTAGCGTTGGCTTCTTCAAACAAAGATGAGCCTTCAAATGGCCAGATTAATTTTCTGTTTCTTGAATGGGAAACTGAACGGACCCAAAGCAAACTCACAAAATTGTCATCATCCGCAACTCTCATTTGCTAAGGTGTGTCTTCACACATAATGGCCCATCCCAATAAGCTGAGAAATGTGAGACCAAGTACCCCTTCCAGAGCACGTGAGGGAGGAGTAAGCCAGCGCAGTCCCCAGGGCTCACTCTTGGGCTGGAATACTCACAAGCATGGAAAACAAGGGGAAAGACAGACTAACAAATTGTGGAACAGCTTCCAATTTTTTTAAAATCATCCTACCCAACACTGAACTGAATATTCAGACTAAACTTTGGTGCATATCCCAAACACAGCAGGCTCCCTTTCCTGTGTTAAACAGAGAACTCTGGGAACATAGAGCAACCAGTTTTCAGCATCCAACAATATAAATTTATCATAGCTCTTTGGCTCAGGTTGTTATCTTTTCTTCCTAAGAACTCATGTGCACATAAATCTTTTATTTCCTCTTCACCTTACTCTTGCGAGGGTGGGAAGAAGAGACACTATCCTCATTCTGGAGATGAGGAAGCTAGGCCAGAGATTCTGCATTTCTAAGAAGCTTCTGAGCCATGCCCACGCTGCTGGTCCTCAGACCACACTCTGAGCAGCAAGGTGCTAGAGCTATCGCATGATACTCAGAAGCAAGACCTCTTTCCATCCCATAATCCAGAGTGTCTGGGGCCATTCTACTAATTCTACCAATGCCTCAGTAATATCTTTTTTACATAAACAAGAGGAGAGTGCCTGTTTCTTTTGGTCTGTCTACTCCAAGAATGAGTATGGACCGATACAGAGATAGGGGAGAAACTCCTTTCCACTGTCCTCAAGTATTTGTCTTGAGAACTATGCTGCAGTGTCCATAACACCCAGGGAGTTTCCTGCATTCACTACTCTTCTTTAAAGAAACAATGACACAGAATGACTTGCTTTTCCCCCAAAGTCAGAGTCACACAGCATCTACCAAACAGAGACTCCCCCTCCTTTCTCCCATCAAAAACATCACACCAGCCAGGAAAACCAACTTCTGCCTCATCCCATCCAAGCACTAGAAACAAGAAAACCCAAAACATTCTCTGAGCTCTGGTCAGGCCCCAGGGACAGCCGAGAAGGTCTCCTTACCCGATCTGGCGATTGGTGGAAGGGGCTTGTGTGATGACAGAGCTGGACTGGGGAGACGGCATGGCTTGCTGAATCACAACGCTGGTGTCATGATTGGGCATCCGCGTGCTGCCGAGCTGGTGAGCTCCGGGCCCCGCCATGGCCCCACCGACGGCATTATGCATCGAGATGTTCTGCCCAGAGAAGACAGGAAGAAAGATCAGGAAAGAAAATCAAGTTCTCAAAGGCCAAAACTGGGAATCTGGTCATGTCAACTAAATAGAGAGTTATGGCTTCTGGCAAGTGATGGGCCCATTCATCTTGTTCTAACTTACAACTGTGAGAAGATGAAAAATAACTATGCACCCTAAGAGGAAAGCACATAATACCTTGAAGTTCACTAATCACTCTGCCGCCATCCTGATGTGAGGTTTACATCAGGGACGCTTAGTGATTTGATGTGATATATACGGCATTTGAAAATGATTTCTGTGGTATGTGCATAATGCTGTGATTTACTGAAGAACCATTCAGCATGTTGCTTTGAATGACAAGCACACTGGGTTATTTTTTTCTTTTTCAGTCCTATAAAAGAGGCCAACCACTAATCCCCTCCCCCCGCCCCCAGGAAACTACTAATTTTCCAAATCATAATCTGCATAGTCATCACCCCAGCCCAACAACCTGGGGAGGGAGGATGATTGGAATAGATAATGAGGTGTCTGGGATCCAATGGCACAAGAGCAAGAGTTGTAACCTCTGCTGTACTTGCATAAAGTCAATCCATAATAATTTCATGAAATCACAGAATACAGAATAGCTATTGACTGTCTGTTTGCTTGTTCATTGTCTTTTCTTCTAGAATGCACAATGTTTGTGCCCACGGGCTATCTCATGGTGTTGGAGCACAGTAGGCATTCAGTAAACAATATATTGCATAAACAAATGAGTAAAGAAAAAAAATAAGACTTCTAAGTCACTTAAGGGACCTAATATTTCTGATGATTTGAGTGAAGGTTTCTTTGTTTAAAATTCAAATGTAAGGTAAAATAAGTAAGACAAATCTGGCTTAAAAGACAACTCTTTCCAGAAGAGGAAGTGTTCATACTGAGGCTGGGCAGGGCTGATCAACAGAGTGGGGCTAAGATATGAAAAATTCAGAACCTAGAAACGACAGAGAAAATATGTAGCAAATTAAGTAAGCGGCTGCTGTAAACTGCCAGGTACAGTGCTTCAGCCTAAGAGGGCAGGGAAATTTGAGAGGTCAGCTGGACATGGGCTTGAGGATGACAGGAAAGAAATGAAGTGTCACTAGTAATTTACTGGAGGAAAAAAATATATATATCTGCATGCACTTTGGGGCTAGCAAAGAAAAAAGTAAATGTTACCCAGGAGAACTAGAAGTGGTTCTTTGAAGTTCTTCTGCAAAGAACAGGATTTCCTGCACTACGTGTTAAATGATGGTGATAACATATACGGTACTTGGGGTGGCTGTGTCCATCACATTGCACCTTTGCCAGGTTTCTGATTTCTAACTCCTGACCACACAGTTTGTCAGGAGTCCAGATGGAAACTGGGCACCTGGCTGAGACTGTGAGCCGACTATGTTGTCGTGGGTTCCCAAAGGCATGAACAGCCTTATACATACACACGTGGTCCGAAAGCTCCTCTCATATACTGGAAGGCTTTTCTGATGTGGGAAAATATTGTGGTTGGTAAAGTAAGATGAAAGGAAGTGGTGATTTGTATTAGGGTGCGAGTGCAGGGACATGGCGGAGTGCTCTTTATAGGACCTAGAGACATAGAGAATTGAACTAAAAATAACAAAAGTAAAAATAACTGTGTGATGTCCTTTGAAAGGGGACCTTAACAAACCTACTACCTTGGGTCTTAATGAGGTCTTGATGAAGTAAATAATTACAAGGATGATTTTTTTTCCATTGTTTAGATCCTCAGTGATACTCGAAAGTTTTCATCTTGCTCAGCCACCTATTTTGTCATAATAGTCCCTGGCTCTCTTTTTAGAATTATTTCTGTTGGACTGTGCTCCCAAAAGTTATCAACAACGCTGTGTGATTTAATTTTTAAAATAAGAATCTTTAAATTCACAAACAAGAATATAAAATCCACGATCTCTCTTTGAGTTCCCTTTGACATCTCTTTTCTATCGCCCTTCATGCAGTCCCCAAACACTACAAAGCCCACTGAAGCATCCTATGTCTCTTTCTGTCTTGGCATTTATCCTTCCACAAACCTACACCGAACCAGCACCATCTCCTTTCCTGGACCAGACAGTGGTCTCCTGTCACTCACTCTGGCTTCCCTTCTTCCTCTTGGCTGTACTATAATCACAACGGTCTTCTCAAGAGGCAAACTCATCACGTCCTTCCAACTCCCCTTACACCCCCAAACCCCAGCTTTCTGAATGGCTTCTCGTGGTCTGGAAGACACTGACAGCGCTGTTCGTATGACCTTCACAGCCTGTATGGGTCCACGCTACGTTCCCAGCTCCTCTCACGCTGCTGTCACTCTTGCTTCCTGTGATTTATTCCACCTTCCTGGAATTTTCCTGCCCTCAAACTGGCCATCCTTCATTTCAGCACAGGGTCTTGAAGTAGGCTCTTCTCCATTGCCTGTGCTCTTCCCCTGACTTCAAACATCAGATAAAGCATCGCATGAGGAAGCTTTCCCTGACCTCTCCAATGGGGCATACCATCTCCCTCTCCGTTGTATATGTTCCACAACTTCACAGTTGTTTTAGATTGGTTAATTAATATCTGTTTCTCCCTCTAGACGATAAGCACGAGGAGAGAAGGGACTAAGTCTGAGTCTACCCCTCACTGTGTCTCTGTTGCCTTGGTCAGTGCCTGGCATATGGCTGGTGTTCAATAAATACTGAGTGAATGAGTAAAACATAAAATAACAATTCCTAGAACATTCAGAATGATGAAATCCTATCCTTTATTCCCTGTGTAATTTTTCATAGTGCTAATTTCTTGTCTATTTACCTCTAAATCTCAGAGTTGCTCAAAATAATACAGTTTTAGATATTAAGGCACTTGTTTGATTATAGGCTAGAGAAATAGCCTATAATCAGGATTAAGAAGATCAGGATTAAGAAGTAAACCACCAATTTAGCACATAGACTGGAAAGTAAACTTTTGATAAAATATTAAATGAGCCTTTGGAGGAAAATACCAAGAGGTGAGCTTCAAGTCTGAGCACTTTGGCTCAAATGATGACAACAACCATTCCTTATCTCGGCCACAAAAACCAAGAAACACTGATTTGTGCTGCAGTACAAATAAATCTGTTTCATTTCTTCAGGGTAAAGCCTGTTAAATGCTAGAAAGAGGTACGTCTTCTCCCCAAGAACGGTTTAAGAATCTTCTCTGAGAATCATTAAAATGCATAAAAAAGACTCTTTAGGAAAATACTTAACACCCTCCCCCACCAACATCATCCTTTTGTCTCTGTGACCTCCACCAGGGACAGAAGAGGCTTCTGAAAGTTATATTCTAATTCTTCAATAATCTCCCTTCTGTACCACATGAAATCTGCAAATTCTCCAGCCTCCTTTCCCATATCCAGAGGGAAATTTCAAAACATGGTGGAAAAATAAACAATTAGGCAAGCATTATCATTTCTTATTAAGAAGAGATGACTTTTTTCTTTAAACATTACATAGTAACTCAAACATGAAATTATTTTCTGAGTTCACATTTTCCCAATTATGAGTTCAAAACCTGTCTTCATTGATAAAAGAATGGCATTTTACCTTTGGATAAATTAAATATCCAGTTTCAAAAACACAAAGACAGACTCTAGCTCTCTGAGTTATTTCTCTGGTAGAGGTGCATAGATTTGGAGATGCTGAAGCAATGTCACATAACCAGTGGATGGATGTCAATAAGCCCGGAAGGACAGGATTGGGGATGTTCCTCGAAGTTTAGCCTTTGGCCTTTTCTTGTTCAACATGTTTATCAACAGCCTGGATGAAGATATAAAAATTGTGCTTGTCAACTCTGTAGTTGACACATGTTGGGAGGCATAGCTAATGTTCTGGATAGTAGGCTCAAATTTTACTTGCGCCAACTGTGTGATCAGACCTCCAAAAATGCTAACATAAATCTAAGTCACTGTAAGAGAAGTGCAATGTCCAGATCAAGGGAAGTAATTATTCCCCTGTAGAGCATGTTGAACTGACCACATTTGGCGACCACATTTTAAGGGGGAAATTGACAAATAGGAGGGAATGAAAGCACTGAAGGCATCCAAAATCCATTACAGGAAGAACGATAGAAGCATTGGGGACTATTTAGTCTGAAGAAGAGAAGACTTAGAGGGTCAGGCTAACTGCCTTCAAATATTTGCATGATTAAATATGCTATCTGTTGCTCCAGCAGCCATAACTTCAAAAAATGGGACCATGATGATAAAAGCCAATAATAACTACAATGTGAGTACCTATTTTGAAGCAGCCACTATGATAGATGCTTTAGAAACCGCACTTCTAATCCTTACACTGACCTTATGAAGTAGACACCATTATCCTCATTTTAAGATGAAAAGAAGAGTAAATTCCACACCATGGCTGATGCCATGCTATTCACCCCTGGCTGCACCCTCACTCCTTCCAGATTGATACTTTAAAAATACAAATGTGACCTTTTGTTGGGATAAATATACCAATATGTAGAGATGTCCAGAGACAAAACAAGCTGCTTTGTAACGCACTGAGCTTCTCATATCAGAGTCAAACCAGCAGAGACTAGTGGCCATCTGTCAAGGATGTCACCAAGAAGATTTTTATACCAGAAGGGAGGTGTCACTAGATGACCTCCAAGGTCTCTTTCATTGCTAAGATTCTCTCATTTATGATACATGGTTTATACTTTGGCTCAAATCCTTCTAAATGATTGGTGATATGTGATAATGTTGAAAATACACTTGCTTAGGCATTAGGAGGCCTCCTCTAGTCCCATCTCTTTACCCCTCCTTGTCATCATGTAACCTGGATAAATCATTCAACTTCCTTGGGCTCCATAGCCTCACTGATAAAAGCAGGTGGTTGGGCCACATGGTCTCCATGGTCTTTCCCAGCTCTGAGACTCCATAAGTCTCTTTCTATGTTACATTTTATGAGACACTACATATTCAAACAGATTTTTTAGACTCTGATTCATGAGCCTAG